AGCCTTACTAACCAGTTTTTCTAAATATTGTACGGAGCAGAAATAAACCACAGTGGGTTTTATTTAATTTAATTCAAGAGCAGCTCATGCATTTTTTGGCTGGCCAAAATGCAGAGTCTTTCTGAAGCTTCCCCCGTTATTCAGGTGTAACATGAAAACTGGTGAAATTCCCACCCCCAACCTGCCCCCCACTTACCTTAATTGTGGGGTTCTTCTCCTCCCAGGCTTGTGTTCATCTTTTGAATTTGGCGTGGCTGTGCATTTACAGCATCTATGAATGGAGAGACTACAAGTTCCATCTGCCACTTCAGCAGAGGGACTTGTAGTTTTCAGTGAAGTACAAGCAGGGCCGTCCCTATAATGAAGTAGCCTGAGGTGGTTGCTTCAGGTGGCATCTCATTGGTGGACGGCCAGCTGTTGGGGGGTGGTCACAGTGTCCCAGGTTGCTAAGAGCTCTCTGTTTGACGTCCCGCGCAGTTCACTGATGTCACCAGTTGCCTAGAGCTGACCAGGATGCTCGGGCTTGCATCCCACCAAGCTCCTGGCAATCACTGATGTTAGCTGGGCAGGACACGTGACAGAGCCGCTGATGGCATGTTCCAGCGTTCACCTCCACCTGATTCCCCCCGGATGACCAGTGAGTGACCATTCCCTTCAGAACACCTCAGGCGGGGATTACCTTAGGGACGGCCCTGACTACAAATGTGGTAGGCCATTGAGACTTCCTCCCGTCACTTAAAAGTCTTTACCTTGGTATGGACAGGGTCTGGAAGGAAGAGTCTGCAAGAGCCAGAGCAATGCATTCATGATCAACTGATCCCTGTTGCAATGCTTGGCAGGCTCAAATGCAAAAAATGTCACGTTGACACTGTCCTTCTTTATGAAGGGTGGCTACTTTTCCCCATGTTCCCTGTGTGTGTTTTAAAGTAGCCACTGCTCCAAGTTTGCTCCCGCGATAGACTACAATCGCAGCTTAGTATACTAATTTGTATTGAGATTGTAGTCCATCATGAGAGTTTGCTTGGAGTGGTGGCTACTTTATAACACACACAAGGATCATAGGGAACAAAAGTCTCCAGAACAAAAGGATCTACAGTTGAGTGATACACCAATAAGGTACAGTTTTGTTATTAAAGTACTTGAATACATTTTTAAGATTCAACTCCTGAGTGTAGGGTTACTTTTAAGTGGACCTAACACCATAAATATTTTTCATGTTAAGTTTATGCTTTTAAAGTAATGTGGATGTGTAACACCTAAATGAGTCACAGGAGTCATAGCCATGGCCACCAGCTGCAGAGAACACATGGGAACACTTGACTCCATGGGAACAGAAACACGTGTGTACGGCTCTCTGTGGCCATGTGAATGAGCCCTCAGATGTCCCCTATAACATAGCAGAGTGTTGTGAGTGGCAGTGTTATATTTTGTCTATATAACTACTTTATAAAACATTGCTCTACATTTCTTCCGTAGAACACTTTTATACTATGTTTTCAAAGCCCTGCTGGCTAGAGATTAACTCAGGAAACAACGGATTTTGTGGCTGAAAAATAAGATTTACTGCTCTACTGCAGGTCTCATCTAATTATTCAGTTCAATAACATTTGTTCATTGGGTTGAATGCATTTAGTGATCCCTAATATGGTTTAAACTTTAAGTTTGGGGAGCAATGTAAACAATATTTATCTTTTTTATAGAAAAATACAAATAAATCTGATCATCTGTGGTAAGCTAGAAAATACATTTATACATGCATGTATCTAACAATACTGCCTTACCAGTTTGTGTAGTACAACTCTGTTGTTCCTAATATGTGAAACAATAGAAATTCTAGTAGATGAAAATGATTTATTACTAGGCACACACAGTAGATATTTCACAGAATGGGATTTCTCTGGAGAGTACTTATTAAAATCAAGGTCTTCTCAACCTCCTCAACAGTCAGCAATTAAGCATTAAGTAAAGTCGACCAGTTTCATATCATTGGAGTCATTATGCATTACATCTGACAGTTTAAACTACACCTACTGTAATAAAATGTCTGTCTCTGGGGGTGTTCCGGAGTATAACTTACTTTACTAGTTTATTAAATTAATGCCGGATCCTTAAAAAGACAACTGCACCTTTGTTTTAAAAATCAGTTCCAAAAATGGATTTACTGAAATTCTGTGCTGAAACTCCAACATAATCAAACGCTACTTCATTTGCTGATTTACTACAGTTGTTGCACTTGTTATTTATGCTGTTGTTCCAGTCTGTTGCTTTAGAGATGTTTTAACCGTGGAATTTGTCTCTGCATTGCCAGTTTAGTGTTCCTGTGTCTATCGGCCATTTACGGGCACATGGTTTGTTACCAGTGATTTTTTTTTTAATCACCTGGGAGAGCCAATTCCCGGATGTGTCAGGCCTCCTATATGGTGGAAGGAGTACATGTGCCTTCCTCCTGCCTTCTTTCCCGGGTCTCGAGCACAGTTTGTTGTTCTGCTTATTATTATTATTATTTTACAGCATTTATATAGTGCCAGCAGTTTGTAAAGCGCTTTACAAAATGGTGAGAGATAATACAGTAACACTACAATATAAATAAAGGAGGGTTAAGAGGGGCCCTGATCATGAAAGCTTACAATCTAATACAGGTGAAACTCGAATAATTAGAGTATCGTGCAAAAGTAATTGCAGTAAGTGCTGCAAAAGGGGCCCAAACCAAGTACTGAGTACATATGCATGCTTGTACTTTTCAGAGGTCCTGTACAATCCTTGTTTTATTGATTGCATGTAATAATCTACTTTTTTGAGGTTGTGGATTTGGGGTTCTTGGGGTTTTCATGAGCTGTAAGCCATAATCATCACAATTATGACAAATCACAGCTTGGATTATCTTGCTTTGCATGTAATGAGTCTATCTCATATATTAGTTTCACCTTTTAAGTTGCAATAGTGAAATAAATGAACTTTGCACGATATTCTAATTATTCGAGTTTCACCTGTAGATGGACAAGGATCCCGCCCCCCCCAATCTGTCTTGCATGGGGACCATTCTGTTATCTCAGTGCTGAATATATCTACGCTCCTAACCCGCTACACCCTAAAGCAGGTGTGCTAATGTAATACACACCAAAGAAAACTTCACCCACTGTGCATTGCCCCTTATTAAGATACATAACTACTATGTAATATGACCGTGTACACAGATTTCGATCACATGAGTGCAAAGTGCAAGAACAATAAAAATGTGCTGTTCACCCACTGTGCTTATCAAATTATGCTTTCTGTGAAGAAATGTGCTCCCCCTGGAATGGATCAACTCAACAATAGTTCAGGCACCTAATACTAGTGGTTTAACCCCTTAATGATCGGGGGCTTTTTTGTTTTGTTTTTTGCACCCATGATATAGTCCACATTTTAGGCCTAATAATTACTTCAAACCCCCAAAACTTTATATATTTTCTGAAAGCTAAGACCCTGTAGAATAAAATGGTGGCAGTTGCAAATTTTTATGTTGCACGATATTAGCGCAACTTTCAAACCCCAACATTTTTTGAAAAATGCACTTGTTAAATGTAGTGCCCCAAAACACAATAAAATACCCATTTTGTTATCAAATATGAAAGATGAGGTTACAACGGGTAAATAGATACCCAACGAGCCCAGGTTAAAAATTGTGTGTGAAACGATGACAAAATTCAGGCCTAAACACAGGTCATCATTTTAGAGATACGCATAAATATTGTCCCTAGAATTATTGCTCTCGCTCCGGCGTGCGCAGCGATACCCAACATGTGTAGCGTGATCATCGTTTGCGCACATTAAAAAAAGTTTTCATTATTTTTACATTTATTTAATTTGATATTATTTTTAAGCCACTTAATCGATCTCACTGCTTCCTGGGTCACAGCGGCTCTGTGACCCAGCAAGCAGTGAGTGGCCGCCGGCTGCTTTTCGTTTTCTGAGTCATGATCCCATCTGTCGGCTGCGCTGTCCGGCTCCATCCGTCCTCCCACCCTCTTCACAAGCAGGCAAGCCGCCCTCCACTCCTACACACAGACGGGCTCAGGCTCGCCCCTCCTCTTCACAGCATAGGCGTTTGACTACGGCCGCCCCCCCAGGAAGGTGCCGCCCTAGGCAAACGCCTACTTTGCCTCGCAGTAAATACTCCCCTGGCTGACAGGTACGCTTTAAGGTGATACTGGGGGTCCAGAAGTCCCCAGTATCACCTAGACACTGTAATAAGCTATTGAAGTGCAGATAGCACTTGTATAGCGCATTGCTGGGCTTCAGGAGCCCAGCAATGACAGCTCAAGGAACGGAAGTGAGCAATACGTGTCGCTCCTGGTGCCATAGAACATGGAGGAGATTGGTGAACGGATGTTCGCTGCTCTCCTCCCTAGCTTCCCGCCGACACCCGAGATTCAGGTCCTGGGCCCGCAGGAGGGGCAGCGGAGCCCAGGAAACACGACGGGAATGGCGGGAGGCAGTTTACCGGGCCGTAGAAGTGATCTGGCGGCAGCTGAGTCGCCAGAATCGATTCTTTTGTAAAGCTGACAGTTGGCTTTACAAATGTAAACAGAGTCTGTTTAAACGGGCCTGCTGCCGCTGATGTACTATGTGATTCACTGGTCGCCAAGGGGTTAATGTCCCATCTATATACCGAGCTTCTCACCAAAATCTAGATAAATTCCCTTAAAAGAGCACATGTAGGCAGGGAAAGGGCCGGGGAAATACAGACGCAGACAGCTGCATTTTTGAACGTCATATTGTAAAACCACTTTATGGCCACAAGATGGAGGGAGAAGTATGTGAGAAAGTATATACTTCTAAAGAAAATGGATTTGTTTGTTTTGTACATCCATTCGCACCAAATAAACATTCATAGAGATTTGCAGGGTCAGTGGCTCTGTGAATTGTCTATCAATAGACCCCCTTTGTGATTATAAAAACAATACAGCAATATCTGAAATACAGCAGCTGCTATACTATGCTTTTTCTGTCTCTTTTAGTTACACATTTTGGTGGACGCCCGGGGTTCTAGAGCACTTACCACTCCCACTTGATGAAGGTAAGTTATCTAAATATTCTAATAATATATCCTGGAATATCACCATTTACTCATATATTGCTGGAATATGTTAAATAACATATTTTGTTTTTTACAGTGTGATAGTTGTAAACAAAATTTGAAACATAGAGAGGAGCTAAACTCACAAAAGAATACTTGCTTTTGTAGAGTAGAGTAGATACCGTGTTTCCCCGAAAGTAAGACCTACCCCGAAAATAAGACCTAGCGCTATCTTCAGGGATTTCTGTAATATAAGACCTAGTTCGGTGGTAGGTCTTATATTACAGAGATCCGCTAGGTCTTACTTTCGGGGAAGCGGCACATAACTGTGTAAAAACCGGCCGCAGCTCCCGCCCCGCCCACACGCCCGCCCACAAGCCAGCCTGCCGCAGCTCCAGCCCCGCCCACCGGCCGCAGCTCACGCCCGCACGCACGCAGCTCCTGCCCCGCCCACACGCCAGCCGCAGCTCCCGCACGCACAATGGAAGCGACATCCGCCGGGACCGGCAACAGCACGCCGCCTTCCGGGACCTCCTCCACTCCTCCCCCAGCCAGGTAAGACATCCCCCGAAAATAAGACCTAGTGTCATATTTCGTGCAAAAAAAAAAATAAGACACTGTCTTATTTTCGGGGAAACACGGTATGAGGTGAGTGAAAAGCACTCACCTCATAGTTCTCCTTTAAGAAGAAGCACATTAAGGTCGTGGAGTGGCCTAGCCAGTCTCCAGATCTTAATCCTATAGAAAATTTATGGACGGAGCTGAAACTTCGAGTTGCCAAGC